AGGTGTTCTCTGCAAAAGGTGTTCAGCCCCCCTTCTTTGGCAACACAGAAAGGAGAATTCTACTGCCTGAGGGTTATAATCCCTAAGTGCGCTTACGTAGAAAGGAATTCTACGCAAAAATACATTTGTTAAAAAGAAAATTTTTTTTTATGAAAACTTTTTTTTTCTATTTTTAATTAACTTTTTATTCTTTATTCAAAATCCCCCCATATCTAATTTGGCTTAATTTCTTTTATTAAAAAATCCCACGGTTTCTGTTAGTTGGGTCATATTCCACTTCAAACTGCTCAGTTTGCCTAAGAAAAATCCGTTTTTCCCCCTTTTTCAAACGGTTCCCTAGGTGCCTGTGGGAGGAGTCCAAGGGAGGGGTTCCCCTTTTTAGAAAGCGGCGACTGTCTCCTTTCTATTGGGGGGTGTTTTGGGGGCCCCGCCCCCTCCCCCTCCGCCCCCCACCCAAAAAACGGTGTGAGTGGTACTAAACATTTCCCGCCAATATACTACAAGAGTGAAACGCTACAAGTGAAACGCTGTGATAGTATTTTTTCTTAAATTTCCATCTTTTATTTGCAGTTACATTAAGAAGCTCATAGAGGACAGAGCGGTTGGTGAGGAAGGTGTCGAGTTACTGCAGTACTGCAACTGGGAAAATCCGCATTTCGCACGTGCCCCACTCGTATGGAATAGTAGCTTATGTCAAAAGGCTGGTTTTAGTATAATGCGGCATTCGCAGCATACCCTCACTGGCGCCGAGCCGTTGAAGACATTTTGGCAAATAAACGTGCAAGAAATAGTTCCGATACTAGCACGTCCATATTCTTGTTAAGGGTCATCAAAAAATTCCTTATGTTGTAAATAATAAAGGGAATGCCGGATTATACTAAAGCCAGCTTCCCGACATAAACTACTATTCCATACGAACACAGAAATATAAATGTATAATAACTCAAATCAAATTGGATCGCATTTGCATAATATACCTAATATTGGAATCTGTTTTGATCGTAAAAAATACAACTTGCAATCATATAGATTATAGTTTTGAAAGAAATTGTGTAAAAATTGTTAATAGCAATCTGCCTTAAATTTATGTTTCCCATGTAACGGGTATAAAATACGTTAAATCCGCACTATCTGCATTAACAAAAAATATACATTGGAATATTTAAAATAAAACGATTCATATTTATTTTCTAATAAGAATTGTTTCTTAATTGAAAGTATTTAATACTAATATAATGTAGTGGTTAATGTTTAAAAATGAATTCGCAATATGTCCGCAGCTCAGGTTGATTTCAAGAAATCCGTTTAAATTTTTCGAATTACATCTACTTGAATCAAGGCACATAAATACAGGTAGAAGCCAAAATGACGTTGCTCTCATGATAACCAAACCTTTAAACTTCAAATTGTTTTCCTTTTATTTCCTACATTTCGTTACGCTTTGAGTGACATGTCGTTCTTTTTTTGAATGTTCGTTAATGACAAATTTTAATTAGCATTTGAATTTTTGTAGTGTTGTGCGGTTTATACTTAGTGTATGTGTTAAAAATGCAACTCCTGAGGCGCTGTTTTTTATGTGGTGTTAAATATAAAGAAGCCACCACTCATTTTTTTAACGTGCCTCAATGTCCTTGGCGTAAGGAGCGTTGGGAAAGCAGCTGTGGGGTAGAGCTGCAGCGAAATGCCTTGCTGTGCGTTAAACATTTTAAAGCAGCAGATTTCATAAATGCACCGGGAGGTACAGGAAAGGCACGTTTGATGCCAAGTGCTATTCCTATGATCCTTATGCCGGAAAGTCCCTCCAACAACACCGCAACTCATAAATCAAAAACAGAAAACATACAAGTTAACAAATTTTAACTAAAGAAAATAAATAAATAAAAACAAAACTTCAAATTTACTCAAAAACGTCAACCAGCGAAATGTAATTTTGTATTTTTCCTTACACACGCTCATTTTTATTTTGACTCTCCCAAAAACTTTGACTTTTGTAGGTTTGATGTCAATTTGGCTTCTACCTGTTTTTATTGTACCATGTACTTGAATATAGGATTGGCAGGGTTGCATACAAATGGTAGTTCCGTAAATATTTAAAATATGTTAGTTCATTCAATATTTACATCTGGGCCAAATATAGCCGAAAAAACAAAGTTTCGATTAAAACGAGTTTTTATAACGCCACGTGCTAACACCTTTTAAGTATTTTTTTATGGTAAACCATCGCATTGCATGCAAGCTAGCAATCAAAAATGTCTAGGTGTTAGTTACACTTGAATACAACCATGCTTGAATACAACCGTGATACAGATTTGAGCAAGGTGTATTAAACAAGGTGGTGTTGGGGCGACAGCTGAGTTTTTCGCCGTGGAGGCCATTACGTCAAAATGATGTGTTTGTTGTAACTCATACCAATGACAGTATGGACATCAGCGTATAATTTGTTAGTGGAATTTTTTACTTATAAACGGCCAACACCACCTTGTTAAATACGCCTTGGATTTGAGGTTATGTTTTTCAGCATGGAAATTAATTCACTTTTCTTTTGGCTAGCGCAACGTGCATTTGATCAAAATTCTTTCTCCTGGTGAATTTGGAGTTTTAGCGGGATTATATTAATTTATTAATTTCAAATAAAAATGGGTACTCCAGATGAGGACGAGAATTCTTCGAATGCGAGTGATGATGAGCAAGAAATAGATGAAGAGGAGGTCGAGGAAGAATCGTCTGGTGATGAAGAAATAAACCAAAATGATGGCATCGATGAGGAAGCTGATAGCGTAGAAGGAGGCGCGGCAACTGAGAATGTGGAAACCAATGTCACATTTAAAGAACTTGTAAGTTTGTTTAATTTGCGATGGATTTTCATACCCGAATTTATGTTTCTCGACATTTAAGGGCTTAACAGATGTACTGTGCCAAGCATGTGAGGAACTGAAATGGAAGGCACCATCGAAGATACAGAAAGAAGCGATACCAGTAGCTTTAAAAGGGAATGATGTTATCGGCTTGGCCGAAACTGGTTCTGGCAAAACTGGTGCTTTTGCTTTACCAATATTGCAGGCGCTGCTGGACCATCCGCAAAGATATTTTGCGCTCATACTTACGCCTACACGTGAATTGGCTTTTCAGATATCGGAACAGTTTGAAGCTCTAGGTAAATATCTATATAAAATAAATGGATAAGTGTGGTCGAGCCCCTAGTTCCCGCTATCCTTCCACTTTTTAAGGTTTTTGGCATGCAATGATGTATAAATTTATTTTGATTTTGTAACATGAAATCATTTATTTTAGTTTCGTCACTACCTCTGAGCTCTTTTTTATACCCGAGCGCACTTGTGCACAAGGGTATATTAATTTTGTTCACATAACGGTTGTTTGTAACAGCCAAAACGAATCGAGATAGATATAGACAAATGTATACATAAATGATCAGGATGAAAAAAGAAATCGATTAAGCCATGTCTGTCTGTCCGTCCGTCTGTCCGTCCGTCCGTGTACACGATAACTCGAGCAAAAATTGAGATATCAACCAAATTTGGTATGTAGGTTTCACTTAATCCAAGGTAGGTTGGTATTGAAAATGGGCGAAATCGGACTTTAACCAAGCCCACTTCCCATATAACGGTAATTTCCAGAAATACGAAAACTGCGATATTTTAGTAACTAAAGAAGATAATGCACTCAAAATTGATATTTATAATAAGTTTTAAACGAAAAATAAGAATATTATAAATTTTTGGAAAATGGGCGTAGCCACGCCTACTTATGGTTACATGTGTATATCTTGGTAACCGCTGCACCAATTTCTTCCAAACTTGGCACAGTTGTTGGCCTTCTTACAACATACCAAATGGCCGAAAATTTTTAAAATCGCTCGATAACCACGCCAACTTCCCATATAACGGTAATTTTCAGAATACGAAAACTGCGATATTTTAGTAACTACTGGCGATTATTCACTCAAAATTGATATTTACAGTAATTTTTAGACAAAAAATAAGAATATTATAAATTTTTGGAAAATGGGCGTAGCCACGCCCACTTATGGTTACATGTGTGTATCTTGGTAACCGCTGCACCAATTTCTTCCAAACTTGGCACAGTTGTTGGCCTTGGTACAGCATAAAATATCGCTGAAACTTTTTAAATTCGGAAAATAACCACGCCCACATCCCATATAACGGTAATTTAGAGAAATACAAAATCTTCGATAAATCAGTAAATATTGAAGCTAATTTATTCAAAATTGATGCTTGCAAAAATTCTTTACCAGGAAATACGTTTATGGTAAAATTTTGGAAAATGGTCGTGGCACCGCCCACTTATGATCACATATAAGTATATCGGTAACCGTTCTACCAATTTGTACCAAACTCGGTGTGGTTATTGTGCTTGCCACTTATAAGAAAAACGTTGAAAATATTTGAAATCGGACTGAAATAACCGCCGCTTCTCATATAACGGTAAATTTCAGAAATGCTTGAAATTTCAATATTTCGAAATTGAAGGACGCTAATTTACTCAAAATTGATACACCCCGGCTTACCATCTAGCGGAAGGTTTCGGAAAACATATATTTAATACTTGCGCCGGGTATTTAATGTTCGGCTCCGCCCGAACTTACACTTTCTTCCTTGTTATACATTATACTTGATTTTATAAAAGTACATTGTGCAGGCATTAAGAACAAAATTTACTTTTAGGAAGTTCCATCGGTGTCAAATGTTGCGTTGTGGTTGGAGGCATGGACATGGTCTCCCAAGCTCTGCAATTAGCGAAGAAACCGCATATAATTATAGCCACACCTGGGCGTTTGTTAGATCATTTAGAAAATATGAAGGGCTTTAATCTCAAGGCTATCAAGTATTTGGTGATGGATGAGGCCGATCGTATATTGAATATGGACTTTGAAGTGGAACTTGACAAAATATTGAAAGCTTTG